AATTAGTTTTACTCTATTAACACTTCAAGTTTGTACATTATTGTTATTATTACTAAAGTTAAAAATTATATTAATCATATCATTTCAAGATCATGAATTAAATTTGTTCATTCCTCGTGATTTCCCTATGCAGTTCATTTTCAAAAAAAGACATTTTTCACAATTTTCGGTGCATCCTCTTTAAAATAGAAAATTACAAAGCGTTCTCTTGTTCTATTTTGACTAGCTTTTAATAACATATTATGAGATAATTTATCTTGAACTTACAATGATTTGCCCTAAAGCTATGAACATTCAGCCATGCAAATTAAATCGAACATAAACTATGAGGTGTCTCAAATATCTTAAAAATATAATAACAATAACAGTCAATTTTAATGTTAGAATTAATTTGAATGAGTTTGAGATAATAAGTTTAAACGAATTGAATAATATTTTCTAATCGTAATTCTAATCTAATGATTAAAACTAAATCGTTTTATTTAAAAATTCGAAATAAATACAAAATTCTTATTTGTGTAGCAAAGAACGTTTCAAATATCAAGAGAATAACATGCGCAGTTGCTTTTGAACATGATAATCAAGACACCTGACTAGGAAAAGCGGGATTTAAATATAGCCGAAAAATTGCTCACGGACAACGTCAGAAGCTAGAGACGGATAAGAAGGTAACGAAAACAACTTGTCCGCGTGATATGTGTCATTTTCGTTTACATCGTGATATACGGTTTCTTTCAAAATCGGAGGTACAGGAGGAGGAGGTAAATCACGAGGGTCACATGGCTCCCACGTCATTTGTCGACCATACGACGGCTATAATAAATTATTATAAAATAATTTCATCAACATAATTCCATTCAGTCTTGTTAGTAAGATTTTCATCATTCGTATGATGTTCGATTTTTAAATATTCCTATCGTTTCTATACATAACAATGATTATCTAATTTTAAAAACTTGTATAAAATAAGACTAGATTACAGATCAAAATAAGTAATTTGAGAGAAAAATTGTAATATTTACACGATTATTTCAATTGGTTATTTAAATCCATGTCGAGCTATTTGTCGTATCAAATAAAAAAAGAAGAGTTAAGTGATTAATAAACAGCCTTACCTTAGTTTGACTCATCCAGAGCAATCCTTGTTGTTGTCGATCGATTAATTCTCTTAGTTTTCTATACCAAGCTTCCGGTGTAGTCAATGTAATTACCGCGCTGAAGATGTGACCCCAAATTTTATCCAACTTTTGACACTGTTCCAGAAGTTTTTTGCTACTTTTATGCGCCGATCTAGAATCAAAATTGAAGATAGTCTTGTGTTTATGTGTAACAAACAAAACCTAAATAATAAGTAAAACAAAACCTGTAAACAAATGAAACCTAAGCTCTGAAGCTTTGAGAAATTACACTCACTTAGGAATTCCGGCTCGCATCTCTTTGATAATTTGTTTCGTCTCAGCTTTCAGGAAGATAACTATAGGATAGAACTGCGCGTAATTTAATCGATCCACCGCGTTTGGAGTAATGTCCAATAAAGCATGTTTTCCTCGATCCATTACTTCTCTAATAGCACTGAGTCGAATGATACCTGATGATTTCGTATTCTTTCCAATGTTATCATCCAACTGATTTTCCATTTC